GGCAGGCAGCGAACTCCCATTTCCTGCCTCCGATCTGCCCACGATGAATCACTGCAATTTACCTCCCCGGCTCTCTCCGTCTCTTGGAAGCAGCAGCAGCAGCGCTCGGGCTCTTCGGAAGACGTGGCTGCATCGGATTCTTTTCCCTCTCTCCCCTTTTCTCTCCTCTCCTCCTGCGTGCCCAGCAGAGAAGTGATTTCTAACCCCGCCACGCACACACGTGGTCACTGCTCGCCACCCCCTGCCCTGATGCTCAGACCCTTTTCACCCCAGTTTCTAAATTCCCTGGGGAGTTTTGCTTACCCCTGTCTGCTTATGCTGGGAATAACATAAAGAGGGATGGCTCTGACCTCACTGCAAATGCAGAGCCTCAGGTGCCCAAAATCCTCCAGCTGGCTGAAGGAAAAGCTGTCCCCAGCCTCAGGGATGTGCTTGGCTCCTGGAAAGGGAAAGCAACAGTTTGGGGAGGAGCTGGGGTCTAACCCCTCAGGGTGCACCTGAAAACCTCCATCCCTGAGGATGCAAGAGTCCAGAGAGCAGCATTCCAACCTTGGGCCACCGCCAGCATCAGCTGCTTGGAGATGCTGTGAGATGCCCCAGCAGAACCCACGGAGAAACAGCGGAAAAATGGAACACGGAGGACAGATGGGGCCGAGGAATAACATATCGGAGCCCAGGCTGGCCAGGAAGCGGAGACGGAGGAGAGCTCCACCAGCAACACTGCCACGGGATGATGATTTTCCTGTTCAATCCCACTTGCTGCTCTCAGGAGACAAGGATTGGTCCTTCAGATTAAACACAACCAGAGCCACAGTTCTTGTTTTGGCTCAGTGCACAGAAACCACTTAATTAGCAATTAAACCTCAACCAAAGAGTTTGGTGGTGACCGAGGGAGCTAATGGCTGTTTTCAGTACAATGCTCTAATTCGAGGTGCCCCGCAGCAAAACTAAGCCACTCTCATGGGTGAAACATTGGCATTATCCAGACCAGTGTTTTAACCATGGGGTGGTTAGTGTGAGAATGCTGGGAAGAGGGAAGTCACAAACTGCCCCACAGCTGGCACAGGGCTCAATGTCTCTGTAAATACCTCTCCCTGAGTGAAGTGGTTTCTCAAACTTGGCTCCCTGAAGCCTCAAACCCCTCTGTTCCGGTACAAGTCCCCCTTAGAAAAAGCCATTAACTAATGCTTTTAATTGCTCTGCAACCCTGTGGGTCACCCTTTGATCAGGACTTTCACCCTCCCAGTTTCCATCACTGTGATTTTTGTTAACTCCCCATCTGCACCCTCCCTACGGGGCTGGCAACAATTGAGGCCATTTCTGACAGGGTTTTCTAAACGCCCCTGTTGTTCAAGGCAGCACCCTGGGACAGCAGCTGAAAAGAATAAACTCAATAAGGCTGTTTTCTCCCTTTTTTGCGTTTAATTTCTAGAGGTACTGCCTCTCCTCTCAGCATGTAACGTGCAAAGCTCTTTCCCAAAGCACGGTGAATGAAAACTCTCAGGTCACAACGGAATCACTGGTGCCCAAGGACAAGGTAGAGAGTACTCTGAATGCAGGTGCTGGCTCTGTCGAGCAGGGGATGACTTCAGCTCGTCTTTTTTTGTCCCCACTGGCCACTGATGGGGGACAGAGGGAGAAGAGAAGCAGCAAGTGGTTCAACCAGAGCTTTCTACTTGCTCACCTTTGCCTCCAGAGAAACCAGGGAAGAGAAAGGTCACAAGTCGGTTGAGCTACAGCACTTGGCAGGGGCTCAGGCTAAAGCAGCCCCGCTCTTTCACGCTGGCAACGTGCTTTTAACAAAGATTTGCCTCTGCAGCAGTCCATGCTGATGGTAATTCCCTCCTCTCTATAGTTCCAGGAGGAGGAAGCTGTGGTGAGGAAGAGAAAGGACACACAAAACAGGCCTGGAATCTAGTTTCATTTTATTTTAGCAAACCGCATGTTCTTCACTTATCAACATCTCTACATTAGCAATTGTATAGCTCTCCAACTGTTCTTTAAAAAAGGGTAAAGAAGAGGTGACCAAACTCAGGCTCTTCATCTTTTAAAAACATTGGAAAGTTGGATTTCAAGAAGACTTTTATATGTTTTGGTTTTAAGGTAACAGATGTGGCGTGGAAACACTAATTCAAATCACCCGCCTAATCGAGAACTACCCCTTCTGGAGCCCCCCCGGCATCAGACAATCAGTGGATGCTGCAGTAGGTGATTACTGAAGATCTGACTCACCATCAGACAAACCTTGCTGGTGTGAAGGAGCCAAACGTGCCACCTCCTCAGCCTGCCCCTCTACCAGCCGAGCAGAAAGCAGCACCCCCAGGACTCAGTGCAAGTGCTGTATATACACTGCTTCTTCACAGAAGCGATAAGGACCTCGTCATGCAGGGGATCTGGGGAGGACTCTTTTGCCCTTGTACCTTCTCTTTAAGAAACACATTCCCCCAGTCATCCTGTTCCCGCTGGCTAAAGACATAAAGATCTTCTTTGAAGAATGTTTAAAGCCAACCCCCCCCTCCCCAGCCCCCAACCCAAGAGGAACACCAGAAAATGTACAGGTTATATACGCCCTAGAAGAAGTCCTACCATTATTGCAGAAACTACAGATGACTTGTTCCAGGGGAGGGGCAGGCACGAGGCCCAGCATTGAGCTCTAACAACTCCTCGGGTTGCTTTGATTTAATTCGCAGCTTTTTTTCCCCTCATCATTCAAGAAAACAAAAAATAAAATAAAAAACCAACAAAAAAACCCTTAAAAGAAGTGTTGAAGCATCAGAACTAAAATACAAATGCATGTTGGACTTAGAAAACAAGATTGTGGATTTGACCATTCCCTGACACTGCAAAGGTTTTACTTTTTTGCCCGGAGAGATTTCCTCATGGTGGACTTGCCCTTGGCAGAGGGTTTCACTTCCTTCCTCCCGCTGGCTGCTGCTTTCTTAGAGCTGCCACCAGAGGGTTTCTTGATGGCTGGGGCTGCTGGTTTGGCTTTCTTAGCAGGGGTTTTAACCTTGGTGGGGGGCTTTGCTTTGCCCCGGCTGGCGGCGGGGGTTTTCCTTGGCTTGGGTTTGGACTCTCTTCGCTTCATCGGAGGGGCCCTGCTCCGTGATTTTGGGGGTGGCCTCTTCTGCATCCTGTCAGAGAGAGACAGCACAAGAGCTCAGTGGAGGCACAAATGGCACCCGGGGCAGAGCTGCTGTAGTCAGTTTGCATCTTGGCATCCTCCTCCTTTACCATGGCTGTTGCTTTATGCAGCAGCACATTTCATTAGCTAAATCCCAAAGAGCAACAACTCCGCTGGCAGATCTTGCCACGCTCAGCACTTCTCAATGCCCACAGTGCTCTGCCACAGAGGTTTCCACCTCCTTCATTAAGCATGTGAACACACAAATAACGACAATGAATCAAAGTCGATTGTCAGGACAGTTCAGAGACCTGAGCACCTTCCTCTCCACATGGAATTGTATTACTTTATTGTATACTTAACAACACTTAATGTTAAATCCACATTGTGAGGAAGACAGGCTTCAAATCTGGCTACAGGACTGCAAATAACACTTACTGATAAGGAAACACTTAATAAATCCGGAAAGTCCCCTGTGAAATGTCACACTTCTGTAAAGCACAAAAAGTGACTTTAGGAGAGTAAAGGCAATACATAGAATAAAATTTCTCTCCTCATTTGGAGGAAAAAAAGGGGTAAGCTTCAAATTATGGAATAGGGGAGATCAGTATCTCTGGAGCAAAGCATTATCAGAAACTTCTTCCAACACCTCTGAGCAACAGCCCCGTGGATAAACCACACCACGAGACAAACCAAGAGTCACCTGTATCATCTGAACAAACCCATTTCTCTCTCATGCTGCCGTACCTCTTCTTTGGTGGTGGCTCTTCCTCCTCAGACTCTTCCTCTTCAGATTCTTCTTCCTCCTCAGATTCCTCCTCTTCCTCATCGGATTCCTCAGAGTCCTCATCCTGCTGCTTCTCTGGGTAGAGCACATCTGGGCTACAAGAGGGTTCTTGTCAGAGTGTGACTTGCTATTAAGGATACGACTCCAGCAAACCTTGGTTAACCCTGGCAGAGACTATGCTGCCATTCGGCTCTTTGTGGGACACTAGATCACCATCCCTGGGCTCCACGTGGCCCAGCACAATGTACACTCCCAGCAGAAGAAAGGCTGTTTTAGTCTCGCAATAGCTAATCTAGGTCATCTTCCCTCCTCCCACCTCTCCTCCACATCAGCATTAAGAAACAGCTGGGTCCTACTCATTGTGAGCACCCTTGCATTAACACCACACTGCCTGCTCACGTGAACTTGTTTTAGCACAGAAACACTTAAATAGCCTCCACCTTGCAAAAAAAAGCACCACGACAGAGGATCTGAGAAGACTGAGCCTGTGTTCAAGGCCAGGTTGGACACAGGGGCTTGGAGCAACCTGCTCTAGTGGAAGGTGTCCCTGCCTGTGGCAGGGGTTGGAACTGGAGGAGCTTTAAGGTCCCTTCAACCCAAACCAGGCTGGGATTCTGTGAATGTTGTAGTTCATCAGTTATTAAACCCTCCACAAACTTTGCTGTAAATAGGTCAGCCCATGAACCTCTGCAACACGTGTCTTGAACATTGTTTAACAGCCAAGCTCTTTACCTAGGATAATAAGGGAAGCAAAGCTGAAAGGTTCCACTGAAGCCCTTTCCAGAAATTTGCTCCATCCAGCCATTCTTCTCACATTTCTGCAGGGTTCTCTTCAGTAGATGCACTGTGAATATAAAAATCAAATAAAAAAAATAATCAGAGGAAGGTTGTTACTATCTTTATCCACTTGTCTGACCTTGCTGCTCCCTGCAGAGTCCTCTGAAATCAGAACTGGAGAGTCAGGATGAAGTCTCCTTTGCTAGGACACCTGCAGAGCACTTAGCAAGTGTGGCTTTAAATTCTCCAAAGGATGAAGTCAAGAACAGTGCATGGTTTTGATGTCCCCATCAAGGGATGCTCCTTCACAAATGCATTCAGGTGTGGCATGGAACTACTGCTGTCCAAATTTAACCCAAATCTCAACTTCCTACAGCCTGTTCTCCAAAGTGTTTGATAAAGCAAGTCTTTACCCTCGTTTTACCCTCCTTATGCCCTAAATGTCATATGTGGTGCATCTTTCCCCACTCTGTGTTTTTGTTTTGCTTTTTTTAAAAGGGAAAATACCTGGTCTAGAAATATGACAAGTGCACTTTTTATTGCAGTCTTCTGTTCCGTGTGCACTGTGTAAGAACTGTAACCAAACCTGTGCAAGAACAGAGGGTCTTTGGCAAAGGGCTGAAGTTGTTTAATCAGTTTAAAACCATTTGCAACTTGAATTAGAGGGACCATTTTCATATTTAGCTCCCTCCAAACCAAGGGAAAAGCAAGGCTGCCCTCAAGCACCTTCCAAGGAGGTTCACTTGAGAAATGGAAAAATACAAAGAAACACAGTGGCTGAACTGTCACTTGAATCTGTGGGTATGACCAATGCAAAGGTATTTGCTCCAGCTGCTTATTCCACACACCTAAACCAGGCTTTTATCAAGCACTGACATTTCACAGCAAGGGAATCCTTTGGGATAAGGCCATACTTTCACCAGGCTGTTTCTGCTGAAATACTGTACTTTGAATGGCACCGGCAGAGCCTGCACAGCTACTGGAGTCAATCCTATCCATTAAGTCACTACTGCCGCAACATTTGGATCCTCATAGTTCAAGAACTCTTTAAAAATACACACTTCTATAGAACAGGAGCAACACATAAAACCTAAGGCTGGTTTTACTCTTTCTACCAAACATAAATAGGAGCACGTAAAGGATTTGACTCCAGTCAAGTCCAGTTTTGAGGTATAAAAAGTGGAGGAGTGCAGAGCACTGGCTCTGCAGCGTGCACCCGCCTGCTTTTACATCTCACCAGATCTTCCTGTGGTTGCCCTTAAAAGAGAGCAGAGATCATCAAAATTCCTTTTATGTAACAGAAAGGGAAAGAAAACAACAGATTGCAGCTGAAATTTCTTTATGTGACTTGCAAGACTGACAAGCACTCGAGCCTGGCTGAGCACAGGCCTCTGAGGACCAGGGAGATTTCCAATGCTCCCGAAAATAAGTCGTGCTTAGCATGCCTGGAAACTCTTCTCCCTGCCCCAAGATTAAGAAGTCACACTTGACATCAGTCTCTAATTGGCAGAAGGCCTCAGGCAGCTTCTTTAGCCCACGCTGCTGTGAGGGAACCTGCACTCTTCTCAGTGTCAGTAAGTCCTGTGTCAAACAGCTGTGCTGCTGCTGGGCTTCAGCTCCAGGTGAAGTGTGGGATCAGCAGCCTCCCTCCAGCTCATGTCCTAAGGAATGACACCAGCACCATGACACCACAGCAACAAACTCATCCACCTCTAGGTTTGACTCTAGTGGAGACTGCTGTGAGCTCACCCTGCTTCAAATGACCTCCAGCACTGGTTAAACTACTGCAGTGGGGCTCAGGCCAAATAATGCACATAAACCATTAGAACATCTGCTTCAAAGTGTCTGGTAGTATTGCTTCTGCTATGCAAAAGCCAAAACAGACATTAGAGTCATTCCTGAGAACAAAGACATGCCAAATCTCTTTCCAAATACAACAGGATTAGTTTCTCTCCTCACTTGCTTGACCTTTTAAAAATCAGAGCCGAAGAAGGACCTCAAGCAAATCAGTAAGAGGGGTGCCTGTGAATGCTTTGAAAGTTACACTGTGCAACTTCTCTAAAGAAAAAGCAACTGGGAACTGCATTTATGCCAAGCTGTTGCCTTTCAAAATAGAGACAGACAGATGAAATCAACTTGGTGATTTAAGAACAATAAAAGTACTTGAATACTATTCCTCCTTCCTGGGAATGTGCTACAGACAAGAGAAACATACATTATGTCCCAAACTAGCCTTTGTCAGGCTTGAAAGGAGCTGATGGGAATTAAAACCACTGAGCATCTCTGCAGCACAAAGAGCTGAGCAGCTGTCAGCTCCCCAGCAAGCTCAATGGAACATTTCAAAGGTGCTGCACAGACACATCTGCAGCTGCAGGACTCTTTCAGCATGCAGAAGAGAAGCATCACACAGGTTGGTACTTTACCCTGGAGGTTGGAGTTGGTCCCTGGGTGGTTTTCCAGGATATACTTCTTGAGGGCTGTGGTGGAGCAGGTCTTCGGTTCGTTCATGGCCGCAATAGCAGACAGGATGGCGTCTTCCATCAGAGTCCCACCCAGCAGGGGCTTCTCCCCTGATTTCTTCAGCTATTTTCCAAGGAGGAAGAGAAAAGCATCAAGACAAAATTCTCCCAAACCAGGTCAGGACAAGCTCCTCTGCACCAGGTGGGTCGGCGCTCCTGCATCAGCACAGATATGTTTTACATTAAACACCGCACGGGGAATGCTGCTCTCCCAGCTTTAACTGGGAGGACAGGCCTAGTCAAGTGGCCTGGAGGGCTTTTTATCAGTAACATATTGTCCCAGTCCCCAAATACACTGCAAGGATGTGGCAATTATCACTCAGGGCCTATCACTTAAGGGCCTATCACTCAGGGAAGGAAATAAATCAGCTCTTCTTCCATCCCCCAGAGCAAATGTACTCAAGAGACTTCTGTGGAACAGCCACAAGAACAAGGCATCTGGGGTACCTACTGCACCCACAATTAGTGATGGAATGGAAAGCTTACCCCACCATCTCCCCTACTGTGCTAGTGAGTCAGAGCTGAAGCAGCATGAGGAGCACGCTAAGCAAGGAAGGCAGGGGGGCTGCTCCAGAAATGTAGACCCAGAGGAGAATAAGAGTCCTACTGCTTCATAGGTGGACAACTGAACATGACAGGCTGCTAAAGAAAGGTGTCCCCAATGAAACTAGGGCAGGGGGAGAGGGGGTGTTAACTTATATCCAAGGCTTGTGGTCAGTACAAGCAACAAAACAAGATGAACTCTGGCTCTGACCTGGAATGTCCCAGACGCTCCCTTCCCTGTGATCTGCTCTAACTGGCCCTTCTCTACAGCTCTCTGCAGGGCATTCTTCAACAGCTGTGGCCTGAAATACAGGAGGAGAAAGCTTTACTGACACACACACACTGACAGCTTCAAAAACAAACAGAGAAACAAGGCTTTATCCAGAGTGTGAGCAGAGCAGTACTTACGAGTGGTATCTGCCTACCTACAGGCATTTTAAATGGAGATCTGTCAGCAAGTGCTGATTACATGAGAAAAACAATGTACGTTAGTGGAAACTGAACTGCAACATTTCTTTGGTGTCACTGTGCATCCAGAAACAGACAAGCTCCACTTGGAAGGATTTAATCATTTTGAAAATCATATTTGGACTCGGTGGGCAATGAGTCAGCTCACAGACAACAAGGGACCGAGTACAGGCCCCTGCAAGAGGTGGCACACGGGGCTTTCCTAGGTTTGCTTCCTCCCAAGGCTTTCACACACTTCATATGGGCAACCTTAAAGCATGTGAGCACATGCCAGCTAAAGCATCCAGAACCAAGAGGGACGAGGTCCCAAGGAGAGGCTCCACATCCACACAGCTAAAGGGAGCTGGTTTTGATTAAGGGTGGAGGTACTCAGAGCATGATGTTGGCGTCAGGAACAAAGATTGGGTGTGGAGGGATGCAGGAAAAGGCACAGCTTTTCCTCAAGTTTTCCTGCAGGCTCCACAAGGCAGAGCACCACCTGCCTGCTGCAACACTGAACTGGATCACTGGGAAGCAAGGCAAAGCCAGAAGAAGGCTGTGTGTCACTGCTCCTCTGCAGCTCTGCTTACAAGAGTGAGAGTGTACTCCTGCACCTACCTTATATCTACTTTGAGTTTGGGGTAATACTGAGACACATATTTCTTGATGAGGCTGTAAGAAGCTTCCTTCGGCTCACAAAGGCGGGTGAAAGCCAGTGGCAGGATATCTTCCAGCTTGACTTGTTGCTCTGCAGCCGAAGTGGAAGTGCTCTTCTGAAATACACACAACTTTACTCATCAGTGGGGCCTAAAACTCTGCAGTTTCTGAACCAGCAATGGACAAGGAAGAACTGCTCCTAACCCTGGCCACAGATCTGCAAAATCAAGTCCTGTAAGGCAATTCTTTAACAATTTAAAAAGCTGAGCAGCTTAAGGAAAATCAAGCAAATTTGGCTGGAATTTTCATAGGAGTCTCAGGAAAGTTTTGCAAATAGAAATTGCTGATTATTTAACAACATCTGTATTTTTACATTAATTTCCTTCCTCTTTCTACACACGCTTTCCTCTGCTGCTCTTCTGACACAGGTAAAAATGATACACACCGACATGAAACTTAAACCACATCGAAGGCTTTTTACACAGCTCAAATCTTCCCAGAAACTAACAGCTTAAACAGGAGTGGTTTTTCAGATGACAGAATGAAATCCTGACTGAAGCCAACTTTCCCATCTGAATTTTCCTCCATCCCTTTGTTACTGTGAGGAGGGCATGAGCAGGAAAAAATAAAGTCTGTTGTTTATACAGAAAAGACAGTGGGGAAATGTGCTGAAGTTTAATGGCTTTGATGCTGAACAGCAGCTTTGCACAGTCGGAGGGGTGAGGGTGCTGCTCACCAGACAGCTGCTAGCTGCATTCACCACCAACAAAAGTAACTAGGAACAAAGACACTGATATGCTGCAGACAAGAAAAGCGATGTGTTAGCAGTTATCAAGTGTCTTGCTCAAACTTCTTGTGGAGCCAGTGAGCTCTATTTAAAAAGTTACACTGCAACTAGTTTTCTCCTGTTCCCTAGCACCATGTGTGTCACAATTTCCCTCAGCTTTAGGGCTTTTAGTCTCCCCAGATGTATTACAATACTCTCTGGGTTCACCCATCTAAGCTGCAAGGGGATCAGCAATTCTGGCTAAGTGTTTTGTAACAACAGTGTTAGAAACATATTTCATACCCTGAGTGTAGCAGAGAGTGGAGACCAGGGGAGCTGGACTAATTGTGAGGGCCATGCTCAAAACCCTCTCCCCCCATCACATAGCACTACCTCAGAACACTGCACACCCAACATTAGCAGCTTTCTTCCAGAAGCCTTAGGACATGGTCATCTTCCTCCCTCTGCACTCACAGCTCACGGAAAAATGTTCATCTGACAGTCCTGAAGACTGAAGTCTTCCATTTATCCATGCAACAGATAGAACAGAAACAGCAGTAGCATAAAGCTCTCTTACAATACCTGAGAGGCATCTCTCTCTACCAGGTAAAGACAGAAGAGGAGCTTCCTGGTTATTCAGTTTTCTGCCTCTGAACCAAAGCCTAGGGGTTTAATGTAAACATTTTAAAACTAAGATTTTGATTATTCTACTTGGTTTAATTTCTCAAACTAACTTTCTGCTTCTGATTTTAGGGAACAGGTTTTTTAATTACTGTACTTGGGGAGGAAAAGTACAGCAAGGAGAATACTGTCTGGGTTGGGGTTAGGCTGCCTTTGGTACGATACATGTGTTTCGGTGCAAGATCTTTCAGGGTATTGTTTAAATTGATCCATCTTACCTTTCTGTCTCTGGCTTTTGGAACAGATTTTCCTGCACTAGCCACCACCACAAAGCTTCCAGAAGCTCCCTTTCCTTTCACCTAGTTTGAAAGAAAGTACATTTCAGTCTTTAGCAAAGTAACCCAGAGTAATAACAACCTGCAAGAGACTCACTGACATCATTACACAGATTTTTGACTGCACTGTCACCCTGGTGATGGGCTGTTATGGCAGAGGCTGTTTGAACCCACTGAAACTTCAGTAAGATCAGAAACTACAGCCAGACATTAATAACATACTCTGCTGTCCTGACCATGAGATCCTAACAGACATCACAAGCATAAATCAGTGTTAAATGTGCTGCTGCAGAAGTGACAGTGCTGGACTCAGTTTGAAGACACAGGCTGCTGCAATGCTGTGTGACACAACACCAGAGACAGTCATACACTGCACAAAAGACAACTGGGCAAAATGTCTGAGTGACAGAACAACAGTGAAATCCTGTCAGTGTCTAACACAGTGGAGACAGAGGTTGATTAACCTCCATGAGGAGGAAAAGACCTGCTAACAGAGTTTGAGAACCCCCTATGTAATTCAGTAACACCACCTCCAGTGCTGCTCCACAAAGCAGCTCTTACCTGCCTAATGATTCCTCTCTCCAGCTCCCTTTTCAAGGCTTGCTTTAGCAGATAGCCTCTCCTCTCCAGCTCCAGGGAAGGGTACTTGTGGATGATGTATTTGCGTATTGCAACAACGGATGCACCACTCTTCTGAAAGCACGCCTGAAATGGCAGCAGAACATTAGGAGAAACCACTTGCACTGGAAAGATCTTGCTGTGGGATTGGAGAACAGCAATTGAACTGACGCATACAGGCCAGCACATCCACACAGGATGCCAGGCTGGCCTTTTCCTCACAATGCCTCAAGAGGATAAAACATAACTAACAAAATACTTGAGCTAAAGAGCAGACAACACAACAGCAGCACAGCAAGTGCATGTCAATCACTCCTCTGTTCTGTAGCACTTACACATAATGGCTTAACCACTAAATGGTACTACAAAACACAGTCACCTTTTGGCAAACCACTGCTGCACAACTGGCAAGTTGTTGCACTAACGTCAGAGTTATTAAGTCAGAACAAGTCGCCAATTCTGGGTTTTTAAGATAATGGAGGCTTGACATAAGTAAACAAGCAAAAAGCCTAAGCTGAAGACCATATTTTGAAGATAGAGCAGCTGGAAAGGCCATACTGCAGTTAAGGCAGGTAGAATCCAGGCCAGCTGTGAAGGCAACTTGTGTGAACTAAGCCTCAAGGGGAGAGCAGCAGCACTAGTACAACAGCACAGGGCTCTTCTTACAAGCAGGAGGGATACAGTAAACCCAGGCCAACACCGCTCTGGAATGCTGGTTTACAGTATCTCCAGCTGCCTTGAATTAGAATAAGTTAATGCTGAGAAAAGCACGTATCAAATAGATGGCTTAATCAAGGTAAATCAAGTTAAATGTGGCTAGAAGGCACACCAAATTAAATGATGACAGCAATCAAGCAGATTATGTCATCCTCCCTGTCTAATAATGTAACGCAGGAGGAAACAAATTCTAAACAAAGAAATAAGCTACAGGGCCTCTCATCATCATCATCATCATCATGGACTCACATTTCAGCTCCACGGGCTTCCAGGCAGAAGCACACGTGTCTCACACAGTGTTTCCTGCTG